GCAAGAATCCTTTTGTGGCATATTCAGCAATATTAATAAAGAATTCCTGCAGCCCATGTTACATGACTATTTCACACATTTAAGGTTGTTTAGAAAATAAAAGTAAGGAAAGCTTTAACATACCTTTTCTTCATTCAACTGATACCTACCATTGTAAAGTTTTACATCCTCCTCTGTAACACTGGAATTGGCTCCCCAAACCACCAATTTATGGATAAGATTTGGATATTTGGCTGCAGCAATGAGTGCTGTTATTCCACCATCACTCCATCCCAACAAAGAGAACTTCTTAAACTTCAGTGCCTTGTTTAGTATCAAGAAATAGATCAGAAATTACTGGTTTTCACCACTGAATGGCTTTACTTGAAGACAAATTCTTCAGAAGCAACACTCTCCCACTAACATCAAGAGAAGCAAAGCCACACACACGTGTCCTTGTGGCACAAGAGGACTCTAGATCCTGGCAATTTACCAGTCTGGTAGGTAGCTTCCTACTTCGTTTTTACCTATATCAAAAACATTTGAAATAGTAAAATAATTTGTTTTATTTGTATGTCACTTTTCCCCCCAAAAATGGCCTCCGAATTGCTTATATAGCATGGGTGTGATTCTGCCTCTCCTGCCGGCATGCTGCTCAGTTGTGCAACAAGTGAGAGCAGCTTGCACATGCAACTTGCACATTAGATGTGTTGGGGATGGCCATCCACTGCCCTCTGGATGTTCTGAACTATAATTAAGATAATTGCTGACCACTCGGCATGTCAGCTGGAAATTATGGGACCTGCATTGCCTAGCACCATGATGGATCATTTGAAGTGAAATACAGAGATGTGTTGGTGAGTGCCAAACAGAGGCTACCAGGAAATTGGATGTGAAGGGAGGGAGAGGGAAAGCCACTTGAATATCTTTTGAAGATGCTTTCCCACACTGCATGCTACCATCATGAAGGGAAAAAGGGATGGATTGTACCACCACATTTTAAGGCTAAAAACATAAAAAAGAAAGTGTGATTGGCTGTCTTCTTTACAACTCAACTAAGACTGGACATCTACACTAAGTGGGACGCCAACAGATACACTTCTTTTAAAATGTGCTCTGTCTCATTCACCTGTAAAGAGGTATGGTAATTTTAAGATGGCTGCTTATTCTACACAATCTGTCTTCCAGAAATTGTTCTTTCACCTGGACTCCAATGTAAGAAGCAAACCTGGCTGTGGAAGGAAGCATTACAGGTGTGGAAAAGGTGTAGCACCCTTTACTGCATCCCTTTCTGGCCTTTTGTTGCATTATTTGCTTCCATGGCCTACATGTGAATAGGCAGTAGTCCTGTAGCTAATCATGCACTAATCTTACATTCCTTTTTATTTGTGAAAAGGCTTTATGGAAAAGTGGCTATTAAATGTTATTTGAATGGAATGAATTGATCAAGCCAAGACTAGAAATGCCGGAGAAATATCCTGCTGCCAAATAGTCACAAATAGTCACAATTCTTAAGGACCGTTATTTCTGTGACTTAAAAAAGAAAAAGAAAAATATTGCTTGGTCATTTATTTTCACAGCTAATGTCCAAGTCCCCCAGGAAGGAGAAAATATGACTGCTTTTCAGGAAATTCTTTCAAAGGATCAATTCCTAAATGTAGAATGGAGTTACCTGCATCAAGTCGACAGCATCTTTTGCATCTCTTTCAAAAAAATCCGGAGGAAAATCACGGTCTGGGGGGATAGACTTCCCGTACCCTCGGGGATCCCAGGCTACGAGTGTGAAGTGCTGCTTGCTCAAAGACTTCAGCTGTGGTCCAAAATCAGTTTGGCCACTTCCTAAAAAAATAGTGCAAACTCTGCCTCATGGCACATTAGTAAGTAACCTACCCTATAATATTCCTGCTGAAGGAGCTGCCATAGACACTCACTTTCAGGGACTGAATTGGGCCAATGCCTGTTAGGCTAATCAAAATATCACAGAACAGCATACAAACCGTCAAGTTCTTCAGAACACTTCATCAGACTAGGCCAGCCTTCCCCAAGCAGGTGTTTTCCAGGTGTTTTGGATTTCAACACCCATCAGCCTCAGTCAGCACTGTCAACAGTCAAGAGTCCTGGGAGTTGTCATACCAAATATCCATTTTTTAAACTACAATTACACTATTCTAAGAGGGAATTAATATTAGGATCTCCAAACATAAACCTTATCTTTCCTAAAGGGATGTGCAGGTGTGAATTATACAAAGCAGCATTTTAGATTTTTAATATAAAAAACACTTTGGCCAGGATTTAGTTCATTTTTTTAAAGAAGAGTATTAAGATAAAAGTTCACAGCACCATTTACTGAAGGTCTTATTTAAACTCTGTGTTTATTCAACTAAAATTAAAGATGTTTTAACAAATGAAAAAAGCAGGCTATACAAATAAACTGAAATGTTTGAGGACAATTTTATCTTCCACAGAGTTTTAAAACACACACCAAAGTTACAGAAATTCAGAAAAACTGACATTTTGAAGCCTATACATGCCAACTCAGCAGTAAGTCTCACTGAGTTTCGTGGGGCTTACCACCATGTTAGCAGCTACAGAATTGCTTGCCTCTTTTTCATTCCTTGATTTAGGCCACAAGACTGCTTTAAACAATAACATTAAGACTGAATACCTGTTGTCACAACACAATTTTCAAATTAACAAGTCATGGCAAAGTCTTGTCAGTATTTAAATCCCAATGGTTCAGCAGATGAGGTTAAGTCACAAGGTAAACCTATTCATGGCTTCACTTCACTTACTACTGCTTCATTCAGGTTTTCAAAGACTTCAGGATGCTGAAAGTCTCCACCTGGATGCAATTTTTGCAAGTTTTGAGTTATCATAATGGAGAAATGGGCAGACTTCAGGTTTGGTGGACCTACTTTGTTTTTTGATTTTCTGAAACCTTTGATCTCCCAGTTAAGGCTTCTGCATACATGCAAGAGTGGGCCAGGGTCTTATAGAGCTCATGTTTAACCAAAGAATTTGGTTTCACGTTAGCTTCAAAACTGATCTGCCCTTTCATATAAAAATCCACTTCTTGATTGCCTCCCACCCTATTTCTGTCTTTCAGCAACCCTATTTAGGGATAGAAACCCCCTTTTCTGGTTGCTTTTGTTAAACCACTGAGAGTCAGAAACCCGTGCAAATCAGCCAGAGATTTACCAGTAGATCCCAATCTACTTTCTGCCATACTTTCTGCCATAATTTATCCTATTATACTGAGCAGCTAAATACAATAGGCAGTCCAAACGTATTTATTTTGCAAACAAACTATTGCAAACTAAATGTCGCTGGTGATATGAAACTTTACTGTGCACAGTAATTACCATTGTTCTTGATCTAATGGCTTCGTTCTGTATATTCCCTGACAGAACATTCCCTAACATGAAAAAGAGTGGGATGGCATATGCTGAAAATGACTGGAAATATGTATTTTTGATATGCATGAATAGATATGGAGAAAAGCTTTTCATCAGCCTTCTGAAATCCAGTGCCCTGCTGGGACAACAACATGCACAACCTGTGAGCATTCACCATGCCAACAAGGACATAAAAGAGTTGCAGTCCAACACATCTGATGGGTACCAGGTTGGGGTAGTATGTTTGCATATACAAAGCAGGAAAGGCAGGTTGCTTACCTGTAACTGTCGTTCTTCGAGTGGTCATCCATGCATTCACACACCAATGGGGCTTGACACGCAGTGTAGGCCTCATCCGGTGGAAACTTCCAGAACTGGTCGCCATGGAGTGGGCGGGAGCAGGGACCACCCTGCCCTCTGAGTGGTATGTAGGCTCCCGCCCATTCCCTCAGTGCCTGAAGACTGTGCTGTCCCAGGTGTGCGAGGGATCCGAGCATTATGTATGGAGCGGCTATAGCGCCCTGCCCCGGCCTGTACGGAGCGGAAGCTGACGATAGCCAGCGGGGCGGAGGGCGGGTTGTGTGAATGCATGGATGACCACTCGAAGAACGACAGTTA